CATCCAACTGCCAATACCTAGCTAGCCTCGTGCACGTCCTGTCCCCAGCTCCCGCTTTGTGTAACACCCATCCGTTGGTACCAAGCCCCATGTACCCCTTGTCTCCAGCCCTAGCTCTGTGTAACACCCATCCGTTGGTACCAAGCCCCATGTACCCCTTGTCTCCAGCCCTAGCTCTGTGTAACACCCATCCGTTTGTACCAAGCCCCATGTACCCTCTGTCTCCACCCCTAACTCTGTGTGACACCCGTTCATTTGGCGTGGGTAAATAATTTGTACAGAAGTTCAGTGGCGTGTCTAGGGGAGGGATGTTGGGTTGGGCGGCGCGCCACGACTGGCTGCAGGCTGCACGCATGTGCTTCACATTACCTCCCTGGAAGCCCGCAGTGACACCCCGATCCAAAACACAGATAGGATTAATTCTTCCTTTCGAAAAAAAACCCGACAATAAAAAACAAAAAACACTCGTTCACACACATAGACGCGCACAAGCGTGCGTGCGCGCGCAGACAGACACACACACAGACAGACAGACACACACACACACACACACACACACACACACACACACACACACACTTCAAAATGATTGTTAATGGTAAGGAATTTTTACATTTTGAATTTTGCCTTTCCTTGATTCTTCCAAACGAATTGACGATGGGTGGGAAGTAGTACTTGGGCAATCTACGTCCTCTATGTCTACCATCCAGGCAAGGCAAGCTGCATCATGTTATATTTATTGCTTTACGATCGTCCGTCACGACGCAAAAGACCATGGAGGTAGACAGAAAATACATGTACTCCCAACCAACGACCTTATCCGTCGCCTCTTTATAACGATGACGGTAATTTACCATGGCGATAAGTCCTCATTCCATCCAGTTCTATCTGCACAACACACTCTTCTTTCACTACAACACGCCTGGGATTTTTTTCCCGGGGGGGGGGGGAGATGACGAGGCCGGAGGTATTCCTCTGGATTGTCTTTTCAAAATCTCTTTATTTTTCTTTAATGCAGTGGTAGCCTTTAAAAAAAAAGAAAAGAAAAGAAAAAGGATAGGGTGAGGGGGTGTGGGGTGGTAAGTGGGTGAGTATATTCCCATTTAAGCATCACTACCTTAAACCTTAAAAAACACCATTAACAAGAAAAGAAAAGAAAAGAAAAAAAAAGAAAGGGGGTATCCAAACCAAAATAGCACTGCACTTTCCGAAGTTTTCCAGGGCTGACGCTGGAAAGGAGCAGGGTGGGTATCTATTCCTCAACGCGGTAAAACTTTGAACAACTATCTCAGTGCTGCACCGAGATGACTTGTTCAAGAGCGCGCTTCTTGCATGACATGACGGGGG